ACTTTGATAACAAAAGAATGATTGTATTAGTGAGCAATAAGGGTGGAGTTAGTGAAAATAATATAAAATGTGCATATTTGAAAATCATCAATATGTCAATCAGTACCTTTGAAAAATTTATTACTGTTCATATTTTAATGTCTCATGACAACTACCAACTCATTTTCAGAAACATGCATGGAATTTCACAATTTCAAGTTTGTATCAATCTCTTTTTCCAGTAGAATTGGCGAGGATGCCTTTGGCTAAAGAGAAAAGACCAAATTAAAATAATTTAAATAATAAGAAAAAAAATCACTTTTATACTTAACATTTAAGTTCCAAGGTTGGTGATGCAGTTATTCAAAATATCACTATGGATGTTACTACTTTTTGTCTTTCTTCTCTTCCATCCTTGGCATGTCAGTTTGCCCTTGGACTAATCTTCTTCATGGATACAAGATGGAAGCAATCATTTCCCAGAATAGCATATGGACCCAACAATGCCCAGCTAAAGAAAAATGGTAATTTTTCTGTGTTAGTCTCTTATACCAGGGAAGAAACCTTTCCTAAGAACTATTCTTCCCCTCTTCCAGGTTGCTTCATCTCATGTATATTTGTTAGGATTGGTCTATATATACATTTTTCCATTTTTTTATGTTTATTTATTTTTGAGAGAGAAAGAGATAGAGAGAGCAAAGGAGGGGCTGAGAGAGAGGGAGACACAGAATCTAAAGCAGGCTCCAGGCTCTGAGCTGTTAGAACAGGGCCTGACACAGGGCTCAAACTCACAAACGGTGAGATCATGACCGAGCTGAAGTTGGATTCTTCATCCACTGAGCCACCCAGGCACCCCTATATATCCATTCTTTAAAAAAAAAATTAATGTTATGTATTTTTGAGACAGAGAGAGACAGAACATGAATGGGTGAGGGTCAGAGAGAGAGGGAGACACAGAATCTGAAGCAGGCTCCAGGCTGTGAACTGTCATCACAGAGCCCGAGGCGGGGCTGGAACTCACGGACTGCGAGATCATGACCTGAGCCGAAGTCGGACGCCTAACCGACTGAGCCACCCAAGTGCCCCTCCAGTATTAAATCAATATATTAGAAGAGGAATTGACTTTTCATTGAGGATTTAGGATGATTCATATAGAGCTTTGCTAAAATTAATCACAATTGAGACACTGCCAGCCAAAAACAAGAAAGAAATAGCAATCAAGATTGCTATTGGCATCAAAGAGTTACTGTTAAGTTACCTAAAGACAATATTGTGGACACTAGTTTAAGAAACCCATGCCAGAGATTGTAGTTAAAACCATTGGAGTCCTATTTAGACAGCATGCCAAACAAAAGCCACATTTGAAAAATCAGCACAGAAGGAGAAATGAGACAGGGAGACTGATAAAAAATAGAGCAATGAAAGGAAATCAAATTGAACAAGATCTCTCAACCGCAAAGTGAAGAGAGCTTCAAGAAGACAGTGGACAACTGCTTCATATATAACAATAAATATGTGCAGAAGGAAGAATCTACTCCAATACAGCCAGATTAATAAAATGTTCCCTTCCTCATTGTTGTAGACTCTAAGTCTAAAGTTCTCTCTTGTCTAGCAAGAGAGTGGGATGCAGGATGAAAAGCGAGAGATGGCTAATGTCCAGGAAAAGACAAAAGCCCTGAATAAAGGTCCTTGCCCCATATTTATTCAGATTAGAAGGCTTACAAACATGGCGACGGACGTGCACAAAGAGACAAAGAAACTGTGAACATTAATTTGGGGACACGAGGTGAAAGGGGGATTTTGAAGATGCACAGTGTTTGGGGTTTGGGTCAATATAAAACAAAGCTGGGCAGATGGGTAGATGTTTACAGACTACATGAGGTAAAACGTCTGTTTATCTTAGCTAGCTTAGGAGATGAGACAGATAGGGGAAATAACCTCAAGGTTAATAAGGCACCTTTTGTTGTGTTAACCATCTCAACTCTTGTCTACTTCTCCTGCAGCGTAGGGGTCCATAGTCCAATTCACCAATTTACCTAACCTGGCCTTATCCTCCTGTGAAAGCAGCTTTCCTGCTATAGTAGTAAATTGGGGGTGCTTCCACCTTAAATATCTAATCTTTTTTGTTTCATATACCTATGTATTGGGCACCTTTGCACCCGTTCTTATTTGGGGCCTTTGCCTCTCTCTCTATTCTGGGGGCTCTGCACTCCCTCTCTATTTTGGGGTGCCTTTGCACCTCCCTATTCTTGGGGTGCCAATCTGGTTTACCTAAACTTGGGTGTGAGCATTTTATGGCTTGGTATTTCTTTATGCCTTGTTAACTCATTGGTGTAACCCCGGGGGATTCCTAAGCTTATCCCCCACACCTCATATTGTTGGAAGTATGAATTTTCACCTTTGAACTATCCAAGAAACATTCACTCAGCCAGGAAGGGAATGCTACCTACTTCTTTATAGCTCACTGTTTGGTGTCACATGCATTTCAGTCATATCCAACTTTTAGATGTACTTACCTCATTGGTCAAAGCAGGAATGCTCACTCTCCTTTATCATACTTATTTAAACTCCAGTCATTCCTCAGTGACTATTGTGAGCCCTGATTCTCTGTACACCAAATCTGAAGTGAGTTGCATTTCCCAGTGAAGCTTTCTTTAATCATGCAGACTATTCTCTTCAAGGTTGCATAGAAGTAGAGAATTTAAGTGAGAAGGACCTGATTTTGAATCTCTCCTCTAATCACTGTGATCCTAGTTCAATACATTGTCCTGGTGTCAGTTTCTTCACTTGCAAATTGGAGATTCGAGATGCCTATTTCATAGCAGGGATGTTTTACAGATTTAAGTTAGATACTGCATGTAAAGTTCTCAGTACTCTGCCTGACACATAGTAAACTTTCAATCATTGTCATTAATAAACAAAAAATAATGCCTTGAAGCACAATTTACCACTTTCCAGTTTTCCCTTATTTATCTTCCATTTCTTTAAAGCCCTCACTATTAGTCTAACATGAAAGTTCATCTCTATCTCACATGTATTGATTGGCACAGCGAAAGGAAGTTGCTCTCGTGCTCTACTGTGCATAATAATCACATAGAGACTTGATTAAAATGGAGATTTTTCTGGCTGTCCCTTGGAGAATTTGCTACTGAATGGCAAAGTTTGTGACCAGATTACGCATATTTAACACATTATCCAGGGGATTCCAATCACCCATGTCCATGAGTGACATGTGGAGAAACACTATCTTACACTCAAATGGGATCAAGAGTGTGCTTTATAAAAACTCGCTTAGAGGAATAAAACAATGAACTCATTTTTGTTTCAGTTATGTCATGTTATAAACTGCATAGTCTTGAATTTATTACTTAAAATAAATATCAAGAAAGTAATTCATCTTTTTCATAGGTGAAGTTGATTTGTATATGTTAAAATAATGTACACATTTGTGTTAAAGCACTTCTAATCTCTTTGAAGACTGCCCTTTTTTATGCCACCCAGTTATACTTGGAATATAGTAAATATTCAGTAATTATTTGCTTACATATTGATTTACCATCACAACGAAAGCAAAAAAACTTATTTTAAATAGCAGTTTCTTCTTTTATTTATTTCTTTTGTTTCAAATTAATGTTTGTTTATTTTTGAGAGAGAGAATGTGAGTGGGAATGGTGCAGAGAGAGAAGGAGATACACAATCCAAAGCAGGATCCAGGCTCTGAGCTATCAGCACACAGACTGATGCAGGGCTCAAACTCACAAACTGTGAGATCATGACCCGAGTTGAAGTCAGATGCTTAACTGACTGAGCCACCAAAGCACCCTGTAAATAGTAGTTTTCTTCTTTTAAACAATAGTTCATATTCCAATGTGATTATATTCCACATCCAAAGAATGTACATGGTGTAAATATCCCAGCATAAAATGATTCTTAAATGCAGTCTTCAGTAGTTTGCTTGGTTTCCTTTATAAACGCAGAGCAATAGCTTTTCCAACACTTCTTTAAAATATTAATAAAGATTTTTTATAGGTTTTCTTAACCAATCATAGAAGCAAAGACAATACAAAGTTAATATAGTGAGTAGGTCATACATTCCCTCCTGGGACACATTATCCTCTGCATTACATTTGTTCAACTCTCCAGGGCTACATTTTTCCAATAATGTGCTTGGATAGTTCCATTATCATCCAAGGTAGTTGAACATTAATGAATCACTCAGCACAGGAAGAATAATGTTCCAGATCTTGCTGCATTTTCTAGGAATTCATCGAACAGTAGTTGGACAAGTATTTAAGGAACTTCTTTAAGTAGTCATTCTTATTTTTGGCCTGGCTTGCCTGTATGTATTAGTGTGCAAGGCATTATTAAATGCATTGGATTTTCAAGATACCTTCTCCATATGAGAAATATGGATTTTCATTATAGTGTTTTCTTTGAATGTGGACAATTAATAGTGACATATTTTATTTTCTCCTTTTCAGCTGAACTGTGTATACAAGCCAGATAAAAGGAAGCAAGGTAAAAATCTCTGGGAGTCAAGACAAATGCAGCCGAGGAATGGAATTTGTACTTAATTAACTGAACTGAATTTCTTGATTTGTAGCACTCTATAATATTGAATAGGATCAATTTAGAAGCAACGACCATTGTAGTTTTCTTTACTTTTCCAGGTTGTGAGCATGAGTTTCCCCATTTAATATAAAAATCAACATATTCTTTGCAGAAGAATATGGTATGTGACATTTAGTTGGCCAAAGAATGCAGCTAAAGTTTGCTACTGTGAGAGTTTTCTAGATGTCTCATGGGGATCAAGATTTCTCACAGAAATTTGGAAAAGTTTTGGAGCAAGATTATATTTATACACTCCTTGTGTTTGGGTATTTTGAGGGTAGCCCTCAAAGATTCCTGCTTCTTGATATTCACACCTTTGTAAAGTTTATTCTCTTTGAGTGTCAGCCAAACATAATGATTTGCCTTTTACACGGACACTATGACAGAGGTAATGAAATGTCATCTTTTTTTGCTTTATGTTTTTATTTAAATCCTACTTAGTTAACATATACTGTAATTTTAGTTTCAGGAATTGAATTTAGTGATTCATCCTTTACATATAATATCCAGTGTGCATCACAAGTGCCTCCTTAATACCCATCACCTCGCCTACCTACTCTCCAGCACCTTCATTTTGTTTTCTACAGTTAAGTCTGTTTTATGATTTCCCCCCTGTCTTTTTTCCCTATGTTCATCTATTTTGCTTCTTAAATTCCACACATGAATAAAATCATATGGTATTTGTCTTTCTCTGACTGATATAGATGTTCAAGATTGCTTTGGCTATTTAGTGTTTTTTTTTTTTTTTTTTTTTGTGCTTCCATATGCATTTTAGGATTGTTTGTTCCAACTCTGTGAAAAATGCTGGTGGTATTTTGATATGGATTGCATTAAATACATAGATTGCTTTGGGTAGTAGACACATTTTAACAATATTTATTCTTTCAATCCATGACCATGTAATCATTTCCATTTCTTTGGGTCTTTTTCAATTTCTTTCATCAATATTCTATGTTTTTCAGAGTACAGATCTTTCAGCTTTTGCTTAGGTTTATTCCTAGGTATCTTATGGGTTTTGGTGCAATTGTAAATGGGATCAATTCCTTGATTTCTCTTTCTGATGCTTCATTATTGGTGTATAGAAATGCAACAGATTCATGTACATTGATTTTGTATCCTGAGACTTTACTGAATTTGTGTATCATTTCTAGAAATTTTTTGGTGGTCTTTCAGGTTTTCTACGTAGAGTATCATGTTGTCTGTGTATATGAAAGTTTTACTTGTTTCTTGCTGATTGGGGTAACTTTTATTTCTTTTTGTTGTCTGATTGCTGATACTAGGACTTCCAGTACTATGATAAATAACAATGGTAAAAGTAGTCTTTAGGTTTAAAATGAGAATCTTATAGACAGCATATAGATGAGTCTTGTGGTTTTTTTTTTTTTTTTTGATTTGTTTTGTTTTTATCCATTCTGACACCCTATGTCTTTTGATTGGAGCATTTACATTCAGAGTGATTATTCATAGATATGAATTTAGTGCCATTGTACTACTTGTTAAGTCGTGGTTTCTAGAGATTTTCTCTGTTCCTTACTTGTCTTTGTTGCTCTTGGTCTTTCTTTCCCATGCAAAGAATCCCCTTTAATATTTCTTGCAAGGCTGTTTTAGTGGTCACAAACTCCTTTAGTTTTTGTTTGGGAAAATCTTTATCTCTCCTTTTATTCTAAATTACAACCTTGCTGTATGAAGTATCCTTGGCTGCATATTTTTCCCATTCAGTGCATTGAATATATCATGTCACTCCCTTCTGGCTTGCCAAGCTTCTGTGGAAACATCTTGTGCTAACTTTATTTGTCTTCCCTTGTAAGTTAGGGATTTCTCTTCTCTTTCCACTTTTAGGATTTTTTTCCCTTGTCTCTATATTTTACAAATGTTACTACAATATGTCTATGCATTAACCTGTTTTGTTGACTTTGATGGAAGTTCTCTGTGGCTCCTAGATTTGGATATCTCTTTCCTTCTCCAAATTATGGAAATTTACAGCTATAATTTGTTCAAATAAACTTTCTGCCTCTTTTTCCCTTTCTTCTTCTTTTGAGATTCCTATGATGTGAATATTATTATGTTTTGTATAGTAACCGAGTTCGCTAAGTCTACATTCATGATCCAATATTTTTCTTCCCTCTTCTTTTCAACTTCATTATTTTCCACAATTTTACCTTTTATATAACTTAATTGTTCTTTTGCTTCTTCCATTCTTGTAGCATTACACCCATTTGTTTTTGCATGTTGGTTATGGCATTTTAAATTTCAACCTGACTAGTTTTTGTCTTTTATCTCTGTGTGAAGGGACTCCTTTGTGTGTCTTATGTTTTGTTTTCTTTTTAAAGCCTAGCTAGTATCCTTATGATTGTTGCTTTAAATTCTGGGTCAGGCCAATTACTTATATCTCTTTCAATTAGATGCCTGGCTCTGACGTTTTCTTGTTCTTTCTTTTGGGATGAATTCTTTCCTCTTGGCATTTTGTCCAAGTATTTGTCTTCTTCTCTGTGTTATGAAAGCCTGTTGTGTTTCCTGCTCCTGAAAATAATGGCTTTATTAAGAAGTGATCATATATTGCCGACGGCCTGGTGCTTCAGGAAGGGTTTCTGGTGTATGCTGTGTGCATTTTGCGGCTGTGTTTTGGCTACTCTTTCCCTCAGGTAAGCCCTCTGCAGAGTTTCTCCTTACCTGCAGTGGGGAGTATTTGGAACTTGGCCACAGTGTGGTGAGTTTTAACTAGGTGTGCTCTGGTCTGCTTGTTAAAAGAGACCTGATGCTACTTCCACTTAAACTGAAGCTTTGCAGTACTCTAGGTTTAGTAGACTTGGTTTGTGTGGAGGGTTTGTGCTGGCCCTCTGAGGAGGGGCCCACTATGCTGGTTCTCAGGCACACTTTCCATAGTAAAGAAGTATCTGCAGAGAGCAGGGGGATTGGGCTTTGTGTAAGCTGTTTAGGTCACCACTGTTGGCAATGTGCTACTTATAGAAGTTATTTTATGCTGAGGAGCGGGGAAGCAAAATAGCACCAGCCTTCTTGCTCCTCCCCAGAGAGGGGAGTTCGCACCTGCTGCTGTTCAAGAAGGTCTCAGAGAAGAGTGAACCACCTCCCTTCATGTGTCCCAGGCATCCATCAGATTCCTACCTTCACCCTATCTGTGTCCAGACCGTCTCCCCACCCAACAGGGCAGAGCACCTGTGCTTTATCCCAGACAGGCCTGCTGAGTTTTAAAACTCCGATCTTCAGAGAAATGGTGTAGTGTGAATAGACGCTGGTCCTCTGGAGGAAGGTGTCACCATGCTGGGGCTGGTGCAGGTGTGTCTCAAAAGGGTAGTTGCACCAATGTACAGTATCTTGGAGTTTGGAGTAAAGCACAGCAAAAAGCCAGCATCTAGCTTAGCTACCCTTAGCAGGTGTCTCTACCCCTATTCTAAGAAATGGGGCAGCACAGTGGTGCCACCAGCTCTTTTGTCCCCAAAGAGGCCATGCCACATCTCCCAGATGTGCTCTAAGAATGAGGAATTGTTTCTCCCAGTGCCTCTCTGGGGATCCTCAGAAGCCATCATATGCCTCTGCCTCCTTTTCCACATGAGCACTGACGTTCCTCCAGGGTCTACACAAGCCACAACATGGAACTCTAAAAATCCAGTCTTTGAGCTCTGTTAATTGTAAAAACTCATGACAATCAGTCCCTTCTGCTTTCCCAGTCAATGGCTTTGGGGAAAGGTTTGCCTGTGTGATGCCCTGCGCTTCTCTCTGTCTCTTTCTCTCTCCTCTCTCCATGATCAGGAACCCTTCCCCTCTGCAGCACCTGTGATCCTTTTCTCCTCCAAATCATTTCTCTGCACCTCCTATCTTCCCCAAGATGGAAGTTTATTTTTTAAATTTATTTATTTTGAAAGACAGAGAGAGAGAGAGAGCAAGTGAATAGGGGAGAGACAGAGAGAGAGGGAGGGAAAGAGAGAATCCCAAACAGGCTCTGGACAGCATGGAGCCTGATGTGGGGCTTGAACTCATGAACCTTGAGATCATGACCTGAGCTGAAATCAAAAGTTGGATGCTAAACTGACTGAGACACCCAGGCTCAAATATGCAATATTAGGACAAAATGCCCATATTTAACACAATGATTCTACTTTCATCTAATATATTTTATATTGAAGAATAGTATAATGTAGAAATATTTTAAAAATTTCCTATTTTTTTGTTTCTAAAATGTACTAAAATTTAATCTATATGACAAGAAAAAAACAGTATTTTACAGCATGTGTATATGTATACTAGATGTGGAGCTGAGGAGAAATCTATTTTCATATTTGACTTAAAAGTCAAAGTTTTGAATACTTTCAAAGCCATTTAAATTCCCCATGTGTTTATAAAAACACAGTAAATATTTGACATAACTTTACAAATATTTTTATTTTCAGAACTCAAGAATCTCCATGAATACAGCCTATATAAATGCATAAAATATTATAAAATAATAATGGTATTTTAAATAATAGTTATACACACACAGAGAGGCAAAAATAATTTGTTTACAGTTTTCCAAATATAATCTATCAACATTCTCATCTCAGAACATTTCACATTGTGGGATGTTATTGTTGACATGAATATAAATACTATTAAATTTAGACCAGATTTATTGTTGTTTATTTATTCTTGCATGTTTTATTTGCTACTCTAATAAAATTGAATATAATTAAAATGTTTGTTGAGGTAAAGTCTATTTGAAAGCAAATTCTATCGTTCCATATTCTTCAGCCAGCTTATATTAGACACACTAATATTAAAATAATAGTAAAATAAATAAGATAATTGTTTAAGTTAATTGAATAAAGTAGCAGATGTTTTCATATTAAAAATTATGCAGATATACTGTAAACAGACTGTAAGAATTCTTAGAAAGATATTTTGCAATCATGTAATGTAAAGAATGAGTTCTGATGCCCACATTCAAATATTCAGAACCCTTTGTTTCTTTTGTTGTTGTTGTTATTTTGTGTTTTGAAATGGTATCCTCTTAGCTTGTCTAAACTATTAACAATATGTAAAACTTACTTTTGATGTTTATTCATCTATTTTTTATAGAGAGATTGCGAGCAGGGGAGGGACAGAGGAGAGAGACACAGAACCCAAAGCAGCCTCCAGACTGAACTGTCAGCACAGAGCCCAATGCGGGGCTCAAAACCCACAAACCATGAGATCATTACCTGAGCTGAAGTTAGATGCTCAACCAACTGAGCCACCCAGGCACCCCAAGAATTAACAATATTTTAAATGAAGAAAATTAATGTGAATTATGGTTATAATTAGTTCATTAGTGTATATCTTATCTAGTAATACTCTTTATTTTGAGAATTAACCAGGTTTTTAAATGATACCAGTCAACTTCTAAAACATTTGCCATATTGATCTGAAGTGGAGAAATTGTTGGGGAGAGACTTCTTTACTCCTTTTTAAAAAGCCATCTCTGGGGCGACTGGGTGGCGCAGTCGGTTAAGCGTCCGACTTCAGCCAGGTCACGATCTCGCGGTCCGGGAGTTCGAGCCCCGCGTCGGGCTCTGGGCTGATGGCTCAGAGCCTGGAGCCTGTTTCCGATTCTGTGTCTCCCTCTCTCTCTGCCCCTCCCCCGTTCATGCTCTGTCTCTCTCTGTCCCCAAAATAAATAAACGTTGAAAAAAAAATTTAATAAAAAGCCATCTCTGAGCACATTGTAAGATTGTCCATGTTTTTCTTTGGGAATTCATTCCCACATTGTAAGATTGTCCATGTTTTTCTTTGGGAATTCATTCCGCTGAATTACATGTTAATTTCACATCACTATCAAAAGTGAATTTCACATGCTTGCTTTACACTAAAAAATAAATGTTAATATGGTTTATGGTTATCTAAAGTATATCCATGTTGGGGGAAGACAAGCTCAGTATACAATTTTGAATCTCTAAAATGACAGCAGGTATATGTTAAACCTATCTTTTCATAAACTGGAAAAAATTCACAGAAGTTTATATCAATAATAAAATTTAATTTTACTTAACCCTACATGTGATTTACCAAAGGATTAAAATAAACACTTCCATATCATGCTCTTAAAATCATGCAAGATCTAAAGCTCCATATTTGAGGATATAATTATTTCTTTAAATATTATTTTTTTTGAATTGTTTAAAGTTTATATTATATTGCAGATATAAAACTAAATTAAAGAAAGTTAGCCCTTAAAGTTAGACTTTGATCATCCATTTTGTTATACTATTATCTCTGCCTTAACAGCTAATTCTTTTTAATTTGGCAAAAATCACACCTTTCATGCTGAGCTTCAGCTCTAACATTTATGTTAATATCTTTAATTTCTCCTCTGTTCCTTCCTCCTAGTGCAGGCCCAGATATTAATTTAATTAATGTATCATTTGACTTTTTCCATACCATAAGTTAAAGTTTAGCATCCAAGTTCTAAATGTCTCCCCAATGGACACTTAATTTTAGTTTATAATTTATTAATGCCAATGGGCAGTAATCCCTTTAAATACGTTAGGATGTTTTATGATCATAAAAATTAATTCATCTAGACAGAGTAGAATTTCTCTAAAATTCCTCTCATGAAAAAATAAAATATGCCTACATGCCTGTGCTTTAGAAACTATATTTTCCTATTCATGAGGTACCGTATCAGTTCTCTACCTCTTTTAGGATTATCCAGATTTGCAATTTTTTCTATAGTACCAATCAGAAAAGGTGACATAACAGTATTTCATCCTTTGCTCCTATCTATGATATCATTCCAAGTTTTGTTTTTGTTTTTTTTTTTTTTTTTTACCTTCTATGCTTCCGTAAGTCTTTCTAAAGAAAACACCTATATGTGCACAAACACACACATACACATGCACAATTTAATGAGCTTGCTCTGGTTTAGCAGATGCAGCAAGGGGGAATAAAACTACAAGTGGAAATAGCCAAGGTAGGCATTATACAAGGATTGGACCTCAGAAAGGAGTACCCATATACAGAGTGTACAAAGGAAATCTTTATCTTTTTATCACACCTGCGTAATGGAATGTTGTCTCAAATATCGTGCCTCAAATATTGTTAATTAAAAGTGACCAGCTGATATAGGGACTATTCCAGATGTTACACAAATCTATAAAGATTTGTCTCTTCACTAACATTATAAGGAAGTAACTGGGGATGTCTGGGTGGCTCAGTTGGTTAAGCTGCCGACTTCGACTCAGGTCGTGATCTCACAGTTCGTGAGTTCAAGCCCCGCGGTCGGACCCTGCGCTGATGGCTCAGAGCCTGGAGCCTGCTCCAGATTCTGTGTCTCCCTCTATCTCTGCCCCTCTCCTGCTCATGCTCTGTCTCTCAAAACTGAATAAATGTTAAAAATTGAAAAAAAAATCAAAAAGAAATAATTGGTTTGAAGGTGGGTCAGAGCATGAAATTAAAGCATGTCATCTAAAGGGCACATTTACATGAAGAAAACGGCCCATCTTACTGTGGTTCTAGGAGTACAGCTTCATCATTGTGGTGGTCACATGATTTTATAATAGAAATTATGTCATTTGAACCTATTGAAAAGTATTCCCTGGATTACCGTTGTCTTTAGGATTAAATCTAAATCATTTAGCATTTTCCCCAAGTTCAAGCCTGGTACCATCTCGGTGTATCATCTGTAGTACTTGACCCCTTATTTTCTGTGTTCTGACCATACTCTTTCCTGGTTTCTTGAATATAAAAATCTTTCCTTTTTTATCATGCCTTGATCTGATATTTTCTAAATATCTTACCTTCCCCAAACCCTACCTCTCTGGTTGTTATAGGTAATTTCTGCTCCTTGTTTCAAGTTTAAGCACAAATGCTATTCATGTAGAGAAGCAGAGAACTCATTTACTGTCCTTTATGTATGCAATTGATCAGCTCACTCTAGCCACCTTTTTACAGCATCATCAGAAAGGATTATTACAGATATATCCTGAAGCTTACTTTGTCCCTTGTCTTACAATTTCACCCAAACCTCTTCTTTCCAAAGGCAGAAACCTTTCTCTATGCTGTGTCCACATTGTTAAAGTGTGTATAACTTAAAAAAAGAATTTTTTTTTGCTTTTAATTAGTTTATTTTTATTTTATTTTATTATTTTTTTATTAAAATTTTTTTTCAACGTTTATTTATTTTTGGGACAGAGAGAGACAGAGCATGAACAGGGGAGGGGCAGAGAGAGAGGGAGACACAGAATCGGAAACAGGCTCCAGGCTCTGAGCCATCAGCCCAGAGCCTATGCGGGGCTCGAACTCCCGGACCGCGAGATCGTGACCTGGCTGAAGTCGGACGCTTAACCGACTGCGCCACCCAGGCGCCCCAGTTTAGTTTTTTTTTAATTGAAATACAGCTAATACACATGTTAAATTAATTTCAGGTATACAACTCAGTGATTGGACAACTCTATATGTCATGCTCACCACAAGTATGATTACCATCTGTCACCACATAATTCTATTACAATACCATTGACATATTCTCTGTGCTGTACCTTTTATCCCCCTGATTTATTCATTCTATAATTGGAACCCTGTATCTCCCACTCTTCTTCATCCACTTTGCCCATCCTTCCACTCTCTTTTCTTCCGGCAACCACCAGTTTGTTCTCTGTATTTATGGATGTGTTTCTGTCTCTTTTCTTGGTTAGTTTTAATTTTTTAGATTCCATATGTAAGTGAAATTATATGTTTTTTTTTGTCTTTCTCTGTCCATATTATTTCTTTTAGTTGCAAATTAATCTGTTGACAGTCATCGTAAAAGACACATCTTGACAGTCACATGATATTGAATTGAAAAAATGCCACACGTTTGTGAACAACAAAAGGACTGTATTTCAAAGGTTGGCATTTTGGTAATAAGCATTAAATACACGAATAAAAAATTTATCTCCTAAGAAGAGAATCAATAGTATTGGAAAGAATGAGAATTGATATAACAGCAGTTTTGTACTCTAAATATATCTTAGAGTGGGTTGGGGATAGTGGAATTGTGAATTCATTTGTGTGGATCACTGATGAAGGCATATACATTGACTGTCTCCAGGGCCAAAGCTTGAATGATGAGGAATACAGTAATGATGAAAGAATAGCCCTAAGATTTAGAAATCAAAGAGCAGGATAAACACATTAATCACATTTTTCTTTGCAACTTTTGGGTAAGGCAATACCATGGAATTCCTTATATGTGTTGATCTGAGTAAAGGAGAAATGGCTCAGGGCAGATCTAAGAACTGAGGAAGTGAAATGGTTTGTTATTCTCTTTCTACTTTGACCTCTCAAATGTATAGTGTTCCAGGTCAATGCAAATAAATATTTTAGGTTCCCTCTGGTAAGGGAGGTAAAGAGGTTGTCTGAAATTTTAAGAGCAGTTGCAAAGGTATCCCATGGACCAGAACAGAAGATAAGGCTAGGGACATTTTTTTTTTAATATGAAATTTACTGCCAAATTGGTTTCCATACAACCCCCATTGTTCGTTCCAAAGGTGCCCTCTTTAATACCCATCACCCACCCTCCCCTCCCTCCCACCCCCCATCTACCCTCAGTTTGTTCTCAGTTTTTAAGAGTCTCTTATGCTTTGGCTCTCTCCCTCTCTGACCTTTCTTTCTTTTTTTTTTTTTTTTCTTTTTTTTTCTTCCACTCCCCAAGGCTATGGACATTTCAGCATGGGAACGAAGAAGACAAAGGTTGCACACTTTACAGGTTCTAGCAAGGATCATTTCCCATGAATAGTGGTACAGGCATATTTCCAAATGCAGCAGAATGATACAGGATTTTTTTCTGGCAAAAGAGAGAAATGAGAAGGAAAAAAAGACAAACAAACCATTTATGAACTGGCAGAGTCAGGAGGGACCAGATTTGTGAATTACAAGGACTATATTTTCTGCGACCATAAAGTAAGAACTTCGAAACTAGAGAATAGTCTAGTTATAAACATGTATATTTAATACCATGTGAATTAGTCATCTTGAAGTGCTGTAACAACATACCACATACTGGGTTGCTTAAGCAACAGATATTTATTTATCATTGTGTTGAAGTCTAGAAAGTTCAAGAACAAGGACCGGAGTGTTTGGCTCCTGGCGAGAGCCTTCTTCCTGGTTTACATATGGTTGACTTCTCACTGTCCTCTCATTGTTAATATAGAGTGAGCTCTGGTCTCTCTTTTTTGGTGTAACTACACTAATGCCATCATAGAGGCCCCACCTTCACTTCTTCTAAACTTAACTACCTCTCAAAGACCTCCACCTTCAATTACTGTTACACTGGATGCCAGAACTTCAACATATGAATTTTAGGGAGACACAGACATTTGTTCCATAAAACCACGTTCCTGCATTTTAAATACATATATACTTGAATGTTTAGATTTGCAATTAATTTATTAATATCTATCTCCTCCAGTGGGCTGCAAATCCCTAATTCTCTGGTCATTATTTATAATGTCATTAAAATTTTGTTCTTGCAAAACGTAGGCATTCAGTAAATATTTGTTGAAAGAAGAAAGAAAAGTGAAAGGAAAGAAGAGTATGAAGGAGGGCAGAGAAAAATAAAACAAAGGAAAGAAGGAATGAGGGAGGGAGGGAAGGAAAAAAAAGAGATGAAATTAAACAAGACTACTAGAACTCGAAAGGTATTATACAGGTTCAGTCGGTGGTGGCCTGGGATCCTGGAATGCAAGTAATAACAATGACTTTGAACAATCATTGTCAAATTATTTTTACCTCATCTTTGTAAATAACAGAATATGTGAGAAGAAATTATTGGACCCTATGTAAAGTTCTTACTTGTGTGTCTTAGGAGAAAACTTTAAACTGGAACAATGAACCTAACATATGCTTATTTAATTGAAGACTCTCATCCAATCCTCTACAACCTTGAATGTGGCCTCTCCTCAAACATGTTAAGCCATGTGCATCACTTTGGGGATATTATGAAGAAAACACCCGTTCTTTCTCTAAAGTGACTCATAATCTCATAAAAGTGATTAATTATTTTACTCTAAATATCTCTATTGATTTCAAAAGCACACTGGAAACTGTAATCAGATTTTATCAGCAGATGGAAGATTGGATTTTCCTTACTTTCCAGGCTGAGAAATGTATCTCACGAAGCTAGAGGTGACTTCACAATTTCAGAGTAAGTGATAGTGAAGAGTAGACACTTCCTCTTAACCTCTTCACAGTCAGTATTCTGAAATATAGTAAACCAATTGGCCTAAAGAGTTTCACTGTTCCATTGAATAAAATCAAACTCTGCTTAAGCATCACTAGCTCAAGGAAACCTCCCTGCCTCCCCAGAAGGGAGGCATTCTTAGAAACCAGTGTTTTTTTCTCTTTCACAGCACCCATAAAAATTGTGATGTAATAATTAACTCATTATTTAACATCCTATTCTTCCCTGGAATGTACATTCTATGAAGCTATCTAAAGTATTTTTTTTCGAGTCTGAATCCCCAATATCTAACTGAATCCCCAATATGTAACTGGTACTTATTAAATATTATTGAATATAAAAATATCTTTTTAATTAATTAAACAGAGAAGAATCTATGGCTTGAAAAGGAATGAATCTAGCTTATACAAGCTGGACAAACAGAATGTTTATTGGAGGAATCATGGTTTATCAGAAATAAGTAAAACAACAACAGGCCTGTGCCTGGATAACGTGGCAAACTAAAACCGAGGACCTGAATGTGGGCGGACATTTTTCCATTAGTTACTTTTGAAAAGTTTTCTGTGCCAGCTTTATTTTCCTCTATTTGACATTAACTTCCTCTACATGGAAGACACATGGAAATCAATACTCAGGAAATGTAATTTTCAGAGCATAGCCACCGGAAGTGAATCACTGGTTTTTTTGTTAAGTCTAGTTAAAAAGTCCCAGGTAAAATATCTTTCCAATCTTGAGCTCATTCCTGGGCCAACAACTGTGTCCTGGGATTTAAGGTTCTATGACTTAAGCATGAGGTTTCTTGCAAGGCTGAATCTGAATTTCAGGTCACACATTTAGCTGGCTGTTTTGAAAGAAGTACGCTTAGTCTATTAAACTTTGTATTGTAGACGACTCTTCAGAGAGCCCATGCTATACCTGAAGCCAACTTCACACCACCATTTAATGCTTTTCTTTTATTACAGGGAACAAACCGCATGATATGCTGCAAGTATTATTTTAAATAATATATGGTAGAGGCTAGTGTCCCCATCTAACAATAGCATGCAAGCACATCTACAAAATGAAAGGTATTTATGGAGTATTTTATAATCTACTGGAAGGTGATTTTTTATGTGTAACTTCATGTGTCTATAGAGAGATTGAGGAGCTTACTACCCACTACCCACTGATACTCAGTGAATATTTTATTATTACAGAAATTAGATTTACATTGCCGTGGTATTTATTATTGTATGTAACGCTAACTCTTAAAAGTAATGTCTTTCTCAGTATACTTAAAGTTGGGACAATTACACAGTTACATTTGATTTAAGAGTATGATCACTTAGAGTAAGTTCATCTTACATGAGGTGTGTTCCTTAGTTTTCTAACTGGCTGAATTGTCTACCTTCAGGCAGAGAGACTAGAGACAATGGCTACTACCATTTTAATCAGCAGAATGTAGACTTTAATTGGTCTCATTCTATGAATCTTGGTTTCCATCTCATTGCATTCTCAAATCATAGTAAGGTCTAGCCTATTTACAACAAAGTTTATATGAACGTTGTGAAAAGATTGCTGATCTTATTAGAGATGACAGAAAAATTTTCAAGGTTTCTGAGGCCTTTGGTTGACTTGTATCATGTCCTGCAATGATCCATCATGTCTTTGTTTAAGTATCTATGAGTATAAGGTGGAAGTATTAAATGGAGCATTAATAAATATTAATTAATGTTAAATAAAAAATAAATAAAATATTAAGGCTAACGTAAATAAAGTATTAAATAATTTAATGGTATGTGTGAGAAAACTAATTGTGCTCATTTGATACATCACTTCATTGTCTCATTCAATGAGTCAGCATTCACTCATAGCTATTAACAGAAAAATACTGTGATTAACTCCACTAATAAGTCAGTTATACAGAGTGGGAGATGCCTTAGAGTTTTTTACTAAACAAAGGAATGATCACTACTGGATTTGATATTTACGCTGCATAAAGATTTTGATGGATGGAGAAGATGGGGAAAAGGTTTTATTTATTGTGTCTCTGAATGAAACATCCAAACCCCTATACAACGGATGCCACTCCAGCTCCCTGATTCCATTATCGTCTTCCTATTCTGAGATCAAACTCTTTCTATTCCTAGTGTTATCAGAAGCTCAGCTCTTCATGATTCAGGATACACTTTGCCATATTCTCCAATTAGGTTCACTATTCTAGTGTATTCTTCAATTTCAGTTGAAGAATTCATATCAGTTGAAGAATTATTTCTAAAAGGATGGCTCAGATTATGATAAGACACAATCCCAAATATTAATTATTAGCCTACTGCCAATTTATGAAGCCAAATGCTTCACTCCGGATCTATTTGTTCCAATACATGTCATTTCAACTTTGTTTCTATTTCTGAACTCAGACTTTAGTTAGTGATCATTTCCTATTTCCTAAAAGAAACAAACTTTTGCCCAATTTTACGCATTTGATCTCTAGAATTTTCAGGACTCTGATAAACGAACTGCAGCAAATTTGCTCAAATTTACTTGTGACCACATAATGGAGTGTGGTTGGTGCCTTATTTTTCAGTAGACACATAGGCTTGGGTGACTACTCCCTACACAAATTCCACTGAGTGCTGAATAGTAACAAAGGATAACAGCAACAGAAAAGACACATACCTTCTGATACTATACTAAGTAGTATCCTAAGCTTTGGTAGGGAGTGGTCACCCAAATTTATCTACTATCTCTTATAAACTAGTCCATTATTATACTATTAGTAATAACATTAATATAAATAATAGCAATGACAGTGATAGTAATAGCTGGTATTGAAGCACCTGGACGGTTCAATTGGTTAAGCAGCTGATTCTTGGTCTAAGCTCAGGTCATGGTCTCCTGGTTTCTGGGATCAAGCCCCATGTCAGGCTCTGCACTGACAGCTCAGAGCCTAATGGAAATTCTCTCTCTGCCTCTCCCCTCTCTCTCTCAAAATAAAGAAATAAATACATACATACATATATACAAAAAATAAAAAAAATAATTAAAAATAGTATTCATGGATGTTAGGCATTAAGCATCTTCAAAGCCCTTCACATATATAAAGTCATTTAATCCTCACAACAGTGGTTGTAAGTAGATATTGTTGCTATCTGTTCTATAGATACATTTTTATAAAGGTGAATATTTGAAGCACTCTAAGAAGTAAAATTTAAATATAGTCACTTAATTGCAATTGTTCTTTAGTCAAGCACAAAACCAGATTGCTTGGAACAATTGCTTTGCATTGTATTGAACAATGTTGGAAATGTAAGTACATCCATTTTTAATGAAACAACAAATATTTTCTTTTATAGTTGTATAATATTAAACAACC